CATCAGCCTCAGCTCTGCAGGACGGAAGCTTAACACTGAACTGCTCTCGGTCTCGCGTTCCCGCCTCAGCCCTGCGTGCAACGAGCAAGTTGCGTGCCCTAATTCCCGGAGGAACCGACCTCGCTCTGGCTTTTGCGGATCTTCGGCACTCCATGCCATACATCACATCCCACCTTGGAAAAGGCACGGCCCCCGCTCCAAGCAAAGCCCGCGCCGTCTGCGTTGCTCGCCTGAAGCTGCTCGGGAACACTTCTAACACTGTTCAAAGCGCCGGTCTTTAGGCTCTGGCTGACACGCCAAGAACAGCGCCAGTAGCACCAGCACGCGCCCGACCTTGCGCAATGTTGCTGGAGGCCGGCTCATGGCGGCAATCGTCCTAGCCTAGCTGTCCTCTGGCTCGAGCAAAAGCACTGCAATCTGCATGAACGAATGATCGAGCTCCACCTGTTTCAGTTTGACTTCTGGTTCATCCCTCCAAGCCAGCTTGAGAGTTCTTTTGACTGGGTGAGTTACCTCACTTGCATGCTTCGTTACTTCGCTTGTCTTCTTGTTGCTGAATAAAACAATCGTGACCTGTTTCGGCTCGGACACGCTTGCCCAGCACGTCACAGATCGGCCCTGCGTCAGAAATTTGGGTTGTGGTTCGTTACAAACATGACAACATGCACATGCTTTCCTTCGGTGACTTGATTTGTCGACATGATGCCGTCAGTGACTGCGTAGCACAGGCCAAGTGTTTAGTTTACAACCAACTGCAATTCAACATGAGTTGCAAGTGTGGCCAGATGTGGACAGGCAAGATGCCTCGGTCAGGGTTCTCGTCGCCACTCTCCCCCCAAAGCCCGTGAACTGTGAAACCTTGGCGCCCCCAAAACCCGTGAAATGTGAAACCCTGCCTGGCCCCCGAAGGGCCGTAACCCTTGCCCCCCGTGAAATGTGAAACCCTGGCCCCGGAAGCCCGTGAAATGCGCAATCCTGACCCCAATCTCAGGGCGGGAGGGCCTGGTGGGCCTCAAAGTGAAGGGCCTCTAATCTCTCACGCTGCTGGCGACCTGTAATCCTTCGAGCGCCGGCCCCCCACCTCCCCCCTCGTGGCCCTGTGACCCCGTGCCCCCGTGATGCCGCGACCTCTCTGTGGCCCCGCATGCGCCCCTGTCCCGTGACGCCG